CCCTAAAACCAGGGAAAACCAGGAAAAACCACGTCTCCATATCCGCCATAAAACCAGGGAAAACCAGGAAAAACCACGTCTCCATGTCCGCCCCAAAACCAGGAAAAACCAGGAAAAACCACGTCTCCACGTCCGCCCCAAAACCATGAAAAACCAGGAAAAAACAAGTCTCCATATCCGCCCTAAAACCAGGTAAAACCAGGAAAAACCACATCTCCACGTCCGCCCCAAAACCAGGAAAAACCACGTCTCCATATCCGCCCTAAAACCAGGGAAAACCAGGAAAAACCACGTCTCCATGTCCGCCCCAAAACCAGGAAAAACCAGGAAAAACCACGTCTCCACGTCCGCCCCAAAACCAGGAAAAACCAGGAAAAACCACGTCTCCACGTCCGCCCAAAACCAGGAAAAACCACGTCTCCATATCCACAAACCAGGAAACTCAGGATAACTTGTGCCTTGTAGTTTAGAGAGCCTGAAGCTCTCAGAGGACCTTTGCGTCGTTTCCTTTTCCCCGTTTCCAGTTTTTAAACGGCGTCGCGAGGCCCGTTTGTTGTGTTTTTTACTCGTTTTGTGAGCTCGAACCTCCCAGAACTCTTTTAAACTTAAATTAAAGCTGGAACTTCGTGAAGTGAAGCAGCAAAAAGGGAGGAAATGTTTCCGCATGCTGGGAAAATGGACTTCTTAAGCCTACAGAAAAGGGACGAAATTAATTTTAAGGCTACGAGTTTATGACTTAATTTATTCTTTTTATCTTAAGGATTGGACTTACTAATGTTTTCAAAGCTGACAGAAATATGAGCCCTGGCTATTTAGCATTTTATTTGTTTTATACAGTGTTTTTTTTCCTCTCACATACTGTAAATAAACGTCTGTTCCTAAAATGTTTTAGATTCAAACAGCAGTAAGCTAGCTAAGGCTAGCTCACCTCAAGCGTAACCTTTGTTTCAATTTTTTCTTTTTTACATTTGCTTCCCTAAAATTTTAATAATTAATACAAAACCAATAACTTTGAAGAGGTGTTGGATAGAAAATATCAAAATGGAGTTTTCCATTTCGGAAACTGGTGAGAAGAACTCATTTATTAGCTTTAGCTGAGCATTTTTTGGCTAGCTTTAGCACAGTAATGATCTCTGTTTTATTTTTTTCTCCCCTCCAATTTCAAACTTATGACTAATGATGTAATTAACTGTATTTCAAAGATGTTGGAGAATTGAAAAACAATTTTCCCCAAACATCTGGAGGACAACTGTAATGTTTATTTTACCAGGGTACATACAAACTATTTTCTTTGAGGTGTTAATGCTCACAGGAAATATCATCTTGGTTTTTTTGTATTTAATGTTTTTGTCTTTGCTCACCTGCTAAAGTAAACTGAAGGTTTACTCTGATGTATTTTGCCATATCTCCTTCCTCCTGTTGCATTTAGACTCCTCTTTATTTAGAAATGCTCCAGTTTTCCGGGGAAATGAAATGTGGGCACCTACCCCACTATCAAATACTGTATTTTCAGTTTTTAATATCAGTCATTTTGTACACACAAACATTTCTTACCTCATTTTTTAAGTGGATCCGCATGACTCCTGCTATGTTCGCAGATCTGTACTGTTTTAAGACATTTCTTTGACAATTGTTGTGGTATTTCTATATTGTTGTCCAAAATATGGAGGACTGAAACTGACAAAATCACAAACATATAAATGTGTCAATAAATGACAGTTATAATAATAACATGTAAGAAATATGACATTAAAATGATAAAATGTCACATGAATAAACATTTCAGTTCTTGATTTCCACCTATAATAATGCATCTTTATTTTAAAAAAGAAAATCTGTTTACTTCTACATGCTTAATTGATAATTCATCATTAATAATCCCTTTAGATTTTCTAAATTTATATTTATTTACAGCACGTTATTTATTTGTATTATCAAATTTATTATTATTTTTTATTGATAGATGCTTTTATGTCCCTTATTTCCCCATCAGTTTACTTTCTAAATTATATCCAGACAAGCCTGTTTATTTCTACATATATATTATAAGATTTTATTGTAAAAATGTATGGACTAAATAATGTGTTTGACATAAAATGTGATAAATGATCAAATATATAAATAGACTTATAGATAAAATAATAAAGTAATAAAACTAATTAAATGGCTTTTTAAAACAAAGATGCAGTGTATCATAAGCTGAAATAAGACAAATAATATAAAATAATGTGTTTTCATTGGTGCATTTTTAGATTTATGAAGACATTTACATATTTTTTTATCAAAAATGTAATTTAGTCAGTTTAAGTCCTCCATACTTGATGACAACTATTTTTCACCACCACTCTGACTAGTAAACTAGGAATATATTTGCACTATGAAGTAATAAGAATGTCGATAGGTTCTAAAAGGGGTCATAGCATGAATTTAGCTCGACTGTCCTTCAAATAATCCTTGTGGTAACTTTTAGAATTGCTCTGTTTAGCATTAGCTTTCTCACACTGTTGCTGTTGTACTTTTCCTTGCATTTTTCAGTGTATTGTACAGATATTTACACTTTCCAGGCCTGAGAATAAAACTTTACAAAACCAGGAAGCTGTTGCGGGTTCATGTTGAACCGGATGATGATAAAAGTGGAATTCTTTCGGCTCCTTCTGGAGCTTTCCGTTCCTGGTCCAGCAGTCGGTGACGCACTTGAAGGCTATAAATAAACATTAATTCAGGCCTTGTGCCATCAAACACCACAGCAGAACCTGACATTTGAAATAAAACGCATCGTGAAAGCGTCAGTTTCAAACCACAGATCCAGACATTAGCCAGTCACACGTTAGCTGGTCGTTATTTAGCTTCCATTCTGTCCCAGAGGCAGACAGATGTGAGGGATCTGGAACTTTAAAGGCTTTTTTGCCCCAGAGCATCATGGGAAATGTGAGCTCAGAGTCAGACAAAATGGAGGATTTTGGAGGATCTGGCAACAGATGCTAAACAAGGGCTGACCCTCAGCTTCCTGTTGGTCAGCAGATTTATGGCTAAATCCAACCGTCTGATTTCCTTTAGGAGGCTAATTAAGGATTTAATTCATGGAGAGCAAAAATGTATCAATCAATCAATCAATCAATCAGTGTTTATTTATATAGCACTTTACAACAACTGGCGCTGATCAAAGTGCTTAATTTAGAGAACAATTGTGAGCTCCAAAGCTTAATTGTTAATCATTGATTAATTAATTAATTAATTAATTAATTAATTCCTTTTTGACAAAATGGCATCAAAGATCTTCAGACCATAATAAAGATAAACTCTTTATTACAGCTCTAGAAAAACTCTCTTTTTTGGACTTTCAACCCATGAAAATCTTTGATTAATAATTGATTAATTAATTAACCCTTTAAAGCCCGATCGAAGAATAAAACAAAACAGAAAATTCCTTTTTTGGGGGTTTTAAGTCTTTATTTGGCCTTTTAACAAAATATGTAAAAAGAAAAAAGAAAAAAGATTTTTTTTACATTAATAATTTATTACTATGCGATAAGTCAAGATTTATTTTTTGTGTAGTCTTCTGCCCCCTGTTATCAGGTGTATCTGATTGTGTACAATAGGATTTTGAGCAAAGTTTTTTACCATTAAATTATGCAAAAGGTGTCAGACGCAAAACATTTCAGAAACCGTACCAAATATGATACATTTGGCATTATAGGGTTAATACTTAATTAATCATTTCCTTTTACAAAGTGGTGTCAAAGATCTTCAGTCCATAATAAAGATAAACTCTTTATTATAGCTCTAGAAAAACTCTTTTGTTGGACTTTCAGCCAAAAAAGCTTAGAACAGTGATTTTTTTAACTTAAATGCATTCTTCCAAACTCTGCTTATCTTTTATTTGTGTAACTCCTCCCATCTTCTGAACTTCCTCCATATGGAGGTCATCTAAAATACTTCACCTTTAATCCAGAAGGCCTCCCACCGGTCAGAGAGCCTGTCGGGGGTCAGAAGATCGTCCAGGTTCTCTGTTTTCGGTTTGGCCGGACGTTAAATGTCATTTTTCCTTCATTTTCCTCTGAATCTGAGGAGAATCTCAAGGTCAAACCGGGCCTTTGGACACCATCACGAATCAGAAAGAGAAAAAAAACAGAATCTATCTCCTTCCATCTTTCTATTTCTATCCCTTTTTATTTCTCTGATTTAGTTTTCTAGTCCCAGTCCAATGATCTTATTTCTGCCTGCCGTTCAATATTTGCTCTATAAATAAGTTTGACCTTGAGCGTGACAGGTCTGGCCATCCATTGGCCCGCGGCTCCGTGTCTGAACTCCTGATTGGACCTGAGAGTTTAATCCCATGAAAGGGGGCGGAGCCTATGTGAGAGGGGCTGAAAAGCTCGGCTCCGGCCGCCCTCCATCAGAAGGCAACAG